CCTTGCAGCAGCGACGACACCACCACCAGGGACCACCGCTGGTCGAACAAGCAGGAGCGACACCGCCAGGGACCGCGCGACCAGAGGAGCCGGGGCGGGGCTCCCCTGCTGGTGGTGTGGGCCCCCCCCGATGGCTCGACATCCCCTGTCTCCTCCTCCTCCTCCTCCTCCTCCTCCTCCTCCTCCTCCTCCTCCTCCTCCTCCTCCTCCTCCTCCTCCTCCTCCTCCTCCTCCTCCTCCTCCTCCCCCTCCCCCTCCCCCTGCCCCCCTCCCCCTCCTCCCCCTCCCCCTCCTCCCCCTCTCCCCAGCTCGAGGAGGCATCGTGGACCTCCTCGCTGGAGGTGGTCCCTCTGGTGGTGGAGTCGTCGCTCCCCCCCCCTGGGGTCGAGGGCCCGAGGGCTGGTCGCGTCCCTCCTGGCAGGCCCCTCCGCGGAGTTCGGGCTCGAAGGCGCCCCTGGACATCCCAGGCGCGCCCTGGACATGGTCATCCCATGGTTCTCCCCTGGTTCTCCCAGGGATCTCCCATGGTTATCCCCATGGTCTCCCTGGTTCTCCCCTGGTCTCCCCAGTTCTCCCCTGGTTCCCCCATGGCTCTCCATGGCCCTGGTCTCCACGGTTCTCCCCTGTTTCTCCCATGGTTATCCATGGCCCCTCCCGTAGTTCTCCCATGTTTCTCCCTGGATGTGGTTATCCCATGGCTCGAGCGCGCCACAGGCGCCCATCCCAGACATCCTCGTCTGGCCTGGCTTTTTCTCGTGGTGTTCATCTTCATCCTCCAGCCCCAGCTTTGCGCCCCGGGTCAAGTCTTGGTGGCCGAATGCCGGGGCCAAGAAGCCCGAATCGGGGAACATTTCGGCAGCGGGGCCGCCTTCTGAGCGCGGGGAGGCGGCGGCGGTGGCGCCGGCGACAGCGACGACGACGCCCGCCCGAGGAGCTCCTGGACGGCGGTGCCGAGCTGCCGCTCCCAACCGCGCGCCTCCTCCTTGCGGTGGGCGCGGGTGCCACTGGCCGCGGCGGCGGCGACGACGACGTCGTCGTCGTCTGGAGACCCTCCCGTCGGCATGTTGTGTCAGCCTTTGTCGGCGGCCATCCCCGGGGGGGGGGAAGCGAGAAGGGGCGGGCCTTTGCAGAAGGCTCGGACGCCCCCCCGGCCTTCTGAAGAGTTGTCCAAGCTTTCCCCGGAGACACAGAAAAACTTCTCAGGAGGCCAGGGCGCTTCGGAGAATCCCCGCCGCTTTCTGAGACGGCCTTCTCCTTCTCACTTTCCCCCCCGCTTGATCGACGCCGACTTTGGCTTCCTGCGGCCCTCACCGAGCCCAGGGCCGTCAGAAAGCGACTCGGGATCAGAAGCCGACCCCGGAGAAGGAGTCCAGACGGGCCTCTGGCGGCCCACGTTGTGAGAAATAACGACGTCGCAGCTCTGGGGAGTGCGGCGCTTCTGGCCCGACTGGGCAGGACGACGTCTGGGGCAGACTGCGAGGACGACGGCGGCCAAACACGCTCGACGACGACGACGACGCCGACGCCGACGCCGACGCCGACGCCGACGCCGACGACGACGACGACCACGACGACGACGACGAGGATCGACGGGTGCGTTGGGGCGGGGAACAGGGACGGCCACGACCAGGACCACGCCTGGGCCCGCGGACGACGCCGCGTGCACAGCAGAGATCCACCCCGCCTGCGGGGCGAACGTGTGACGAAGGTGAGGAGGAGGATGAGGAGGCGGAGGCGGAGGGGGAGGAGGAGGAGGAGGAGGAGGAGGAGGAGGAGGAGGAGGAGGAGGAGGATAGGAGGAGGGAGAGGAGGAGGAGGAGGAGAGGAGGAGGAGGGAGGAGGGGAGGAGGAGGAGGGGAGGCGGAGGGAGGCGGAGGAGGAGGGGGCGGAGGAGGAGGAGAGGAGGAGGAGGAGGGGGAGGAGGAGGAGGAGGAGGAGGAGGAGAGGGAGGAGGAGGAGGAGGAGGAGAGAGGAGGGGGAGGAGGAGGAGGAGGGGGGGGAGGAGGACGAGGAGGAGGAGGAGGAGGAGGAGGAGGAGGAGGACCATGACGATCGAGATGTTCAAACGGTTTTGGCCGATAACCTCGGGGGAAAGGGGAGCGGTGATAGGGGAGACGGGATGTGAAGTGAGGTGTAGGCGTGAAGAGTCGTGTGGAGGGTGCGGCGTGTGAGGCTTTGGGGTGTAGGTGCAGCGTAATTAAGGTACGGCCAAGGCAGGGCGGGGTAATGTGTAAGGTCAGGACAGGGAAAAGTTAAGGTCGGGTAGGGTGGAGTAGTGATGCAAGGCGTAGAACGGTCAGTAACAAGGGGGAGATGCCGTGCCTGGTTCATGGCGCGCGCAATGCTCTCAGAGGGCTCTGACTAAAGAAGCGCGTTTACCTCCGCCAAAGCAGCGATTTTAGCCGAGACGTCCCAGCAGTCTGGCCGCCAACGGGCTCGTGATAGAACTCCCTGGCGGGTCCACCGTTGGAGGCCCAAGTGCGATGCCTGAAGCAGCGTGATGATCATCGGGATCGGGATCTGACAAGAGAGCTGCATACTCCGCCAATGCGGCAATTCCACCTGAAAGGTCCTGACAATCTGACTGCGAAGGGCCTCGTGGTAGAACTTCCCGGCGGGTCCGCTGTGGGAGGCCCCAACTGTCACGCCTACTGCATCGCTACATCGTGAGTGAGTCTGAGCACGAGTCGGTCTGAGTACGAGTGGTCTGAATAAGGATTGTAATGAATCAGAGTATGAATCGTCTGAATGGGTTTGGGTGTGAGCGGTCTGAGCATGGGTGAGTCTAAGTCTGGTCGAGTTAACCAGGTCGAACGAGCTGGTAGTGTCCGTACGTTCCCACCCGTCCTCCCAAAACATAAACCCCAATCGTACAACTTGACATGAAGATTGGAACGCGTTCCTACCTAACGAACACAGGACGCTCGCGCGTGGTCCCGCTTCCGACGAGAGCCCATAATCGAATCGATAAGTCGAATCGGCGACCGAAACTCATCGGATCGGCGGACATCGGCAGCCAAGTCGGGAGGAGTCGGATCGCCTGAAATCGGCAGAGCAGTCATTGAGAAATCGGACGCCGAATCGGAACCCAAAGTCGAATCGAATCGGCATCGGAACCCGTCAGAATCGAACCGAACCGAATCGGAGGATTCGAAAATGAGCCCTGGACTGACGAACCACCAACTGGGTGCTTGTTGTCGGATGGGGGTCCCCGCTCGAACGGGAGCGTTCCCCAGGGTCCGACAACCCGCACCCATACCCATAGCCAGTCCTCATCCCAACGACCTCCCTATGGGTATGGGTGTGTGTGTGTTCGTTCGTCATGGACATGGGCGAAGGGGCAGCCGCGCAGGCCGCGCAGAGGCGGGAGCGGAACTCTGGGGAGGTCGCGACTCCCTCAAAACGTGGCCCCCAGATCCCTCGACCCCTGCCCGGGTCCAGCTTTCATCCGGCCTACAGGGCAGGTTTTTTAAATACATATGATAAAAAAAAAACATATATGATTGTTATACATGATTAGTTGATGAATAGATTTATGCATGAGCTCATCGTTGTTTTTGGTACTATATCCTTGCATGTGTAATACATGATCCGCACGCGGAGTATGTATTAAAACGGCACTGTAGCTTGGACGGCCCCTGGGTCAAAAACAACCTCCAGACGCCGGGCCTTGGGAACGCTTGCCGTCTCTGCCGCTGGCTCCCCGACCCCCGACGTCACGAATATTTCTCGCGGCGTCGACCCCCAGAGGTCTCGAGCCATCCCACGGGACCAGCTTCTCATCCCGAATCGCTTCTTGACGGTCCCGAGGCCCGGCGGGGGCCTCCAGAGGCCGAAAATATGCGCAAAAACCTCCCGTCCTGTTATTTTTTTAGGTTCACGACGCGAGGGGGCCTGGGCTATCAGGGTGTGGAGGTCCGGTTCTCCAGAAGGCGGTCGAAAACGAGTCTCTCGGGGGGCCGCTCCCTGGCCCCCGGGGGCGCGCTCTGGCCAGGCTTCGGACCTCCCCTCCCCTGCCCCTCCCTCCCCCTCCTCTCCCCTCCCCCTCCTCTCCCCTCCCCCTCCCCTCCCCTCCCCTCCCCCTCCCCCCCACTCCCCATTTCTTCCCCTCTCCTCCCCTCCCCTCCCCTCCCGTCCCCTCCCCTACTCCCCACACCCACCCCGCCTCCCCAGGGAGCCCCCAGAGGGGCACCGAGGAGGGACTCGGGGGCGTCCAAGAGGGGGGCGTCCAAAAGGGGGGGGGCGCAGATCGTGGCCGGCGGCAGGTGCGCGGCCCAGGGAGGGGGGGGCGGGGACGTCATGAAATCAGAAGGGGCGCCCTGAAATCTGGGGAGATATCATGGCCCCCGCCCAAGATGTCCATTCCCCTCACCCCTCTCTTAGCCGCCCCCGAGGGAAGGGCCGATCCGACTGCCGACGCCATGATTTGTTCACAGCAGCGACCTCGAGGGGTCCCTACCCACTCCCCAGGGACCAACTTTTCGTCCAGAGTCATGCTTTGACAGTCCTGGGGCCAGCGGGGGCGTCATGACTTGTTCACAACTTCGACCTCGAGAGTCCTGAGTCATGTTTTGACGGTCCCGGGGCCCAGCGGGGGCCCCCGGAGGCCGAAGAGAGCAAACAACTTCCACCGTGAATGCTTCTTCGACGCGCGGGGCTCGAAGGAGGAGGAGGAGGAGGAGGAGGAGGAGGAGGAGGCCGAGGAGGAGAGGGAGGAGCAGGAGGAGAGGGAGGAGAAGGAGGAGGAGGAGGAGGAGGAGGAGGAGGGAGGAGAAGGAAAGAGGGAGGGAGAACGTTGCCCGCCGGGTCCTCGCCGCCCCCGCCTTCGTCGAGCAGGGCCTCCAGAGCCGCGTCCTCCGCGGGGGCCTCCTCCACCGCCCGCCGCAGCCGCGCGGCCAGCGCGCTCAGCGAGGCGCCCAGGGCGCTGCACGCGGCCCGGAAGGCCCCGACGGCCGCCTCGGGCAGGGCGCCGTCCTCCGCTTGGGCGCTGCCCCGCAGCGCCACCGTGCTGAGGGCCTCGAACAGGCCGTCCGCGCCCTGGGTTGGGAGGGAGCCGACCATCGATGCCCCTGCACCGATCCTGACCGGGCCCAGGATCGGTGGGTGTGCGCCCTCCTGCCTCGGCCGGGGAGGCATACATCTGATCCCGTGCCCGCCCCCTCCCCCCTCCGATGGTGGGACTGCGCGTGCCTGGCGGGACTGCGCGCCCCTCCCCCGACCCCGATGGTGGGTCCCCCCCCCGTTGCGGGTGGTGTGTGGTGCTGCGGCGCGCCCCCTCCCCGAAGGGTGTGGTGTGGTGCTGCGGTGCTTCAGGGAGCGGGGGGGTGCAACCTTGCAGCACAAGGGGCCGTGGCCTCCAGGAGAGGTTCAGAGGTCGTCGTCGTCGTCGTCGCCGTCCTCGCCCTCATTATCGCCCTCGTCGTCGTCGTCGTCGTCGTCGTCGTCGTCGTCGTCGTCCACCCCCAATCCTGTCTGGGGGGGTGGGCGCGGGACCCGTGGGCAGGGAGCGCGGAAGATGTCTGATGCAGGGCTCAAGCCCCACACCACATCCTCGTGCTGCCTTCGGCCGACCCCCCCGTGCGAGAGGTCCCGTCCCCCCTGTAGGCGTGGCGTGGTGGAACGCCCATTCCCCTCGCCCTGTGGTGGAAGGTAATGCTCTGGTGCCAATGCCGGTGCCAGCAGTGCCAGTGCCGGTGCCGGTGCCGGAGCCAGTGTTGGTGCCGGTGCCGTCGTCGACGTCGTCATCGTCCCCGTCGTCGTCGTCCCCGTCGTCGTCGTCGTCGTCGTCGTCGTCGTCGTCGTCGTCGTCGTCGTCGTCGTCGTCCCCGTCCCCGTCGTCGTCGTCGTCGTCGTCGTCGTCGTCGTTGTTGTTGTTGTTGCTGTTGTTGTCGTCGTCATTGTCCGTCGTCGTAGAGTGGTGGGGCCCGTCAACCTTCGACCAAGGATCACATGTGTATGTATGTATATTATATATACATGTGTATATGTGTACTTATTGTTGTATGTATATGTATATTACATAAAAAACATATGCACCGAACCTGGGCCCAGGAGCTGCCAGGTCAGGACGGGCGCGTGCATATAATTGACGCCCCCCAACCTTGGACACCTCTGCCACCGCGTCCGCGGCGGGCAACTGCGCCAGCGTCGCAAAGGGCGGCGCCCCGTCTGGCACGAACACGGCCGCGGCGGGCGCGGCAGGGTCGCCGTGGAGCAGCAGCCGCAGCGCTTCCCGGCGGCCGTCGGCGTGGCGCTGCAGCAGCGCGACCTTGGCGTCCCGGGCCCGCTTGCGCCTCCTCGGGGGCATCAGCGACACCACTGGCATATAAACTTTCGGAGGGCCGCGGTGATTCCTCGGCTCGGCGCTGGGCCCCCCCCCTTCCCTGGCGCGCGCACCGCGCCAGGGGCGGCGCTGGCGTCGCCGCCAGGAGGGTGCAGCGCCGAGCCGAGAAACCCGTGCGCATCCTCCGAGACTTGTCATGTTGTGCCTGGCCGGCGCGCACAAAGGGGGGGCAGGGGGAGGGGGGAAGGCTTCGCAGAAGCAGGCTGGGCCCCGGCCTCGCATCTACCGACAGGGCTCTCGCCTCCCGAGAAGCAGGGTGCTTCTAAGAAGCCGCCCCGCCCTCCCCCCTGGACCCCCCCTTGTATGCGCGTGGCTGCTGTTCTTCTTCGGCGCCTGGCGTGGCCCTCGGCGGCCGCGGCGACCTCCCGCGATGCCTGCTGGCACCGCTGCGCGGCGGCGTCGTCGCCGGCCGCCGACGCCGCGCTGGCGCGCCCCACGAGCGCGGCGCGCGACGCCGCGGCGCGCCCCCGCGCGTGCGCGGCGGCGGCCTGCAGCTGCTGCTCCAGCTGCTGCGCGCAGCAGTCCGCCTCGTACCAGTTTGAAGCAGATCCCTGTCCCTATGTTTGACGTCACCCCACCCCGATGCCGATCTTAAGGAGGATCCCCTCCGTTTCCGGGGGCCTATGCCTGAGATTGTCCTCGCTGTTTGCTCGCCCATCTTGGGGACAGGGATCAGTTCGAGGCTGGCTAGCCTCCTGCGCCGCGAGGCTGCCGAGGTCGCGCTCCAGCTGGGACCAGGCCCGCTGCAGGGGCCCCGCCTCGGGCGGCAGCCAGGCCTCGCCCTGCGACCGGGAGGGCGGGCGCGCCAGCCCCCCCGCCGCCCAACCGGGCCCCCCCCCGGGCCCGAGGCCCTCCGCGCCCCGGGCTCGAGGGGGCCCCGCGGGCGGCCGAGGGGCTGCGCCGCCCTCCCAAAGGCCTCGCCGTCCGAGTCCCACGCGTCCGGCGCCAGGAGCGCCAGGGCGCTCCTGAAGGGGGAGTCGCTTGCTCGCCTCCGCCGTCGGGGTCCGATATAGATCCGCGGCATCGCCTGCAGCAGCGATGGGATCGTTAGCAGGGTGTCGTTTCTGCGGACGGCTGTCCCACGAGCGCCGCTCAGGGTGACGATGCGAATGTCACTCCCCCCTTCCCTCTCTTCCTCTCCCCCTCGTCCGCCCTTGGGCCAACGGAGTTTGCGTGAATTCTTGCCTGTGTTGCATCCCTTTTCCGCCGCAGGATGCTGGCCCGGCCCCTCCCAGCGCCGCTCGTCCTCTCTGCCTGGGCCTCGTGGGAGCTTCTCTCGTCGCCACGGCCGGATGTTGGCGGCGCGCAGAAGGGGAGTGGAGGGAGGGGGGAAGGCTTCTCAGAAAGAGGCTGCTTCTTAGAAGGCGGCGGCCTCACATCTATACATGAAGGCCGCGCCTTCTAAGAAGCAGGGGTGCTTCTAAGAAGCCTTCCCCCCTCCCCCTACCCCCCTCTGCGCGTGGCCGAGGATTGGCCGCCAAACACTGGTCCGGGTGGACGGGCCCGCGGGAATTCTTTTCCGGGCGGGAGGGCCGCCGTTGTGTCCACGCGCCCTTCCCCAGAAGGAGAACACCAACCAATGCCAAAACACGCGCTGGCAGCCCTGCCGCTCCCAAGGGCGCGCTCTGACTACAGGGCTCCGAGGGCCGATGCGGCCGCGGCGTCAGAACCGAGAGCAGGAAGCAGCCCACGTCTTCTGTGTCGAGGAGGCGTGGCGAGCGGAAGGCTGAGGAGAAGGCAGGGTCCAGTGCTCGAGCACATGCCGCGTATGAGACCAGCCAAGCGCCGATGAGGAGGTGAGGTGAAGGAGCGAACGACGGGAGAGCCGTCGGGCCAACTTGAAGGTCGCTGGGGGGGCAGCGTTGTTTCCAGGGCCAGATCCCCGTACGCTCGGCGGGCGTGCTTGATCGGTCAACAGCAATCCTTACACCGCCCTTCGCGAGAAGCTCCGATTTCAGGCTTGCTCTTGCCGACGATTGGGCTGCTCATGCTTGCTCTTGCCCTACAAAACAAAAGCATTGCCCTCTCCCCCGTCGCCCCAGAAACCCAGATCGCGTTTGCTGCCCATCAGCGAGCTTCAAGGACCAATAGTCTCAGAGTCTTCATCCATCGAGCAATCTCTATCGGTCTGTCCAGCTATCCATACCCAACTACCAATATCACGATATCTGATTCGGTCAGATCGGTCTCACGATCGACCGATTGATATGCCCAGGTGTCCGTGTAAAAAAAAAGCAATTTCACTTGCCATATATGACTATAATTGTCTTTAAACCGATGCCACTATTTCTCGGTGGATCCCACTGTCAATAGGTATCGGTCTATATGTATCTGCTATTAGACTGGCACTACTAAATATAGTTCGATCTCACATCCAACTACAATCGGGGTAACCATCGGAACAACCATCGGGACAACCACAGGGAAAACCTGTATCGGTCTAGCTGTCGGTACCACTGTGCAGAGGCCACCATCTGCACACCGAGCCCAGTTTCTATACGTACACATATCTATGTATATGCACATACTACTTCATCGGTTACACACATGTCTATACGACTGTATATCGGTGCATGCATATATCTAGTTCGTTTTCTGTACACCGGCCTCACTATCGATCGGCATTACAACATGTATAGGTATATCGATCTTAAGGTTCTTATGCATATCTCACTATCTGTATGCGTGTGTCGACTTACCTATCTGTCGACCTCACTGTCGCTCTGCCGACCCCACGACTCATCAAGACACCTACAACTGGGACAACCATCGGGACAACAATCGGAAGTACCATCGGGACAGCCGTTGCGACCTCCATCGGGGCAACCCTCGGGACATCCATTGGGTCAACCATCGGGACAGCCATGGCACAACCACGGGACAACCGCGGGCCAAATTTATGTCAGCGCTGGCCTGGGACAGCCCCCCGATCGCTGAAATATGCAAAAAGTTTTTTTGAAGTTGTTTTAAGTTCTTTCTTTGTTTTTCAAAAAAGTTGTGTTCGAGGTTTCCCCCAAGGTTCTTTGAAAAGCGGCGCGTGTCATGCCATAGGCATGCAGCAAGCAAGGTGTGTTGTCCCCGCTGGAAGCTGGCACTGGCCAGGCTTGCACGACGCATGGCGTTCCAGTGGGAGGCGCCGCGTGGTCGGGGACGTGCCTAGTGGACAGTCCACGGACACTGTGGCGTTCAAGCGGGTGGTGGTTGTTCGGCGCCTAGTTGGCGCTACCTGCTAGGGTTGGTCTTCCACTGCCCATCCGATGGGCTACTGGACTGTGGAGCCATGCGCCGCCGCATGATTGATGCGTTTCTCAACGATCGGGGTTGCACCATGAAACTGCAGCGCCCGCCAGCGTCAGAAGTTGCCAACTCCGCCAGTTTTGGCATTGGCGCAGCACCGAAAAAGGCGGAGGGGGGAGGAGGAGGAGGAGGAGTGGAGGAGGAGAGGGGGGCAGGGGAGGGGGAGTAGGTTTGGGGAAGAGTGGTAGATGCGATGGAGGCAAGCGGACTGGAAGGATGAGGAGACGAGGAAAAATGAGAGAGCGAGGGGAAGGTAGAGAAGGCAAGGGGATGCTGAGAGGGCAGTTGGAGCAGACGGACAGAGTGCAGAGGACGGTTGCACCCCCCTCGCCGTTTAGTCCTTCTCCACCGTCGTGGTCCTCACTCCCTCGGCATTTGTCCTCCTCCATCGCTTCTGTCCTCCCTCGTCCCTCTGTCCTCCGTCGCGCATACCCCCATTATCGTCCCCATCCTCGCCATTACGTTACAAGTACTAGTAGCAGCAGCCGTAGTAATAGTAAGTGTAGTCGTAATCGTAGTAATGGTACTGGCAGTCGTAGTAGTGGTGGTAGTGGTGGTAGTAGTAGTAGTAGCAGTAGTTGTAGCAGTTGTTGTTGATGTATTGGTGGTAGTAGTAGTAGTAGCACTAGAATTCAAAGTATAATAACATGTAGTAGCAGTATGAGTAGTAGTAAGGCTAATACTAGCAGTGCTAGTAGTAGTCGTAGTAGTAGTAGTAGCAGTTGTGGTAGTAGTCGTAGTAGCACCAACAACAACAGTAACAATAGTAGTAACAGTAGCAGAAGGAGTGGTAGTAGCAGCAGGCAGTAGACATTAAGCAAGGAACCTGGATGAATCGGGCGTACATTGACCATAAAAACAAGTGGGTTACGGATACATGATCAGGAGGAGAGACGGCATACACGGGAAATGTGATGCATAGGACATTTGTTGGCAAGAAGCCTCGCCACGGGAGGCGAGGGGCGGCCTGCGCTGCTGTGCTTCAGCAGCCGCCGCGACAGTCCAGCCCGACGTCCTCAGCCAGACATGGCCAGGACGGACTCCACGTACTTCTCCATCCACTTCTCGAGCTGGATCGTCGGCGTGCTGTCGCCGACCTCCTTCTTCAGCTTGGTGCAGAACTTGTGCCATGTCACCTCGTTGGCGCCGAACTTCGCATGGCCGAGCACCAGCTTGGCCTCGCGCGTTGCGAGGGCACCCGACCGCAGCAGCCGCTGGAACTCTCCAGCCTCATTCAGCAGCTCGATGGCGCCCTCCTTGAACCCGAAGGTCTCGGCAATCTTCTGCAGGTTCGATGTCAGTGCCTTGAGGTCCTGCACCCCTTTCTCGAGAGCGTCGCCGTCTATCTGGAGGAGCGTCTTCTTGGCCAGCTTGGCCACGGCTGCGATGTCGACGACGTCGTTGGCCTTCACCTTCAGGCCGCTCGTCCAGCGAGCATCGGCGCCAGCAACGTCCTTGACCACCTCCTTGAACTGACCAATGGCCGCTGCGACCTTGTCGGAACACATCTTGAGGTGACTCTCGGAAGCAGCTTTGACCGTGTTCTCGACCGTCGTCGTCTCGATGTGGATGCAGCCATCCTTCGAGTACTCAACCTGCCCTTCGGTCAGCGAGCGGACGGCCTCGAACAACGCAACGATCAAGCCTCTCACCATGACCTGTGCTTCGTCAGCCTGAGCCCTGCTGTAGTCCGAATCTCCGAGCTGTTCGTATGCAAGCCGCCTCTGCCTCAACACCCACACCTTGTGGATCGAGGTCGCACAGCTCACGATCGATTTGTTCACGCGCTCGACCTTGCAGATCTCCACGGCCAATTGAATCAGCGTCTCCGCTTGGGCGTGGGGCCACCCGTCGGCAGTCTGCAGGAACTTGAGGATGCTCTCCCCAGCGTTCTCCGCACCTGCCGCGTCCTTCATGTCCTTAGATCCACGAACGACCACATCGTAAGCGTCCTCGATCCTCTTAGGTGTCATGGTGGGGAGGCTCTCGTCCGATATGGACGTCACGGCGGCCATGAAGCGTTGGTGGTCCGACACTTGTTCCAGGAATTTCATGACATCGTCAATGTTCGCCAAGGGCCCCTTGGCGTCGAAGGTCTGGAAGGGGATGCTGCTGTCCACGAGATCGAACCCACCTCCGTGCCCTAGGCACGGAGCAAGCGACTCACCGTGTACACATTGCACCCAAGACAAGTCAACGTACGGGCTCCAAGAAGAAGAGCTGGGCCCAAGCTTGCCCAAGAGGGCTCAAGATGGGCCAGGGGGGCTCCCAGATGGGTCAAGAGGGCCCTGAGGGTTACAAGACAGCCCAAGATGGCTCCAGCCCCCAGGAAGGCCAGCCTCAAGAGGGCCCCAAGAGAGCCCCAAGACAACCCCACATCAACCTTACGGCGTAATCTTGGCTGGTGGCCATCTTGAAGCCCTATTGGGAGCCATCTTGGATCCCCTTGGGGGCCCTCAGAGCGCCCCGACGCTCCAATAATACATCATGCACGCCAAACGGGTGCTCCAGGATGGCCCCACGATGACCCCAGCCAGCCCCGAACCAGGCGACAGGAAAGTTAGTTCGGGGCCATCTCGAGGCCACATTGGGATCATCTTGGATCCTCCATGGGAGCCCTTCAGGAGCCCAACGAAAGTTCCAAGATGTCCCAAGATGGACCCTCCCTCCTCCGTCTGCCTCATCCCTCCTCCTCCTCCTCCTCCTCCTCCTCCTCTTCCTCCTCTTTCTCCTCCTCCCAACTCGCTCACTATCACTCCTCACTCCTCCACCTTCTATCATCCTCTCTCCTCCCTCCTCCCTCGACGAGGCCCGAACAGGCCAAGCGCCGCGCCGAAGGGGCCCCGCGCATCCAAGACACCTCCGAGAACCTCGAGAATATATCCCGACCGATGTCCACGAGCCCCCATGCTCACAACCCTGCGATCGGAGGCGGAACTGGCCGAAGGCCACCTGAGAGCTCGCGCCATTGCTGAATGGCCTCTGTAACCCCGTCAACAGAAAGGTCGCTCGCCTCCTTGCCCTTGCTGGCAACACTCACCTTGTACCTCGCAACCTGGGATGCCACGTGGTCGAGGGCGCCCGTCAAGAGCTTCGAGAGCTTATCGAGCAAGTCAGTCCGCAAAGCACTACCCTGCACCTTGAATGTAGTCACAGCTTTCTTCAGCACCCCAAGGCCGAGGTTCTCAACGTCACGCTCCAGCATGTCGTGCAGCACATTCGTTGTGTCGGCGTGCTCGTCGATGAGTTCTTGCGTTAACCTTTTCCCTGACACGGCCACGTCGTTCAGATACTCCTTCCAAGCAGCGACGCCGTGGAGCACCGCAGACACGTTGTCGACCAAGGTTTGTCCTCCACCTTTGCGTACCTGTGCTAGTTGGCGACCTTGCTCGATGTACTGGGTGCCTGGGCCGTCGCAGATCGAGATCAAGCCTTTAAGCACCCTCATCACCTCGAATAGTGTCGCCAACGTCATCTCATCGATCGAGTCTGGCTTCTGGGCGAACTGCTGCATCGCCACCACGCAAACATGGCGGATGCGTTCCTTGATGCTGGGGCCGTTGGCCAACATGGGAGTGATCACTTTGTCAAGCACCAACTGGCGAAACTTCGAGGCCTTCTCCATGGCGGACCCGTCCGTCGTGCTGAGAGTGGGCTGCAGAGGGTTGAACAGGTGGGCGTCCTCGTCGCCCAGTCCGTCGGTGGTAGACGAGCGCCACGGCACGCAGCACGCAATGACCTGCTTGAGCTTCTCGTCAGTAGCTTGGTCGTCGATCTGACCGAGAACAGCCATGCGCCTCTCTAGCAGCAGGTCCTTGATGTTGGAGGGCCAATCCGACACGAACTCAGACAACTTCGCAAGGTCAACCTGCAAGTCCGAGAGCGGGCGCTTGGAGTTATCCTTGCTTGCGAAGTCAATAACGATGTTAAGCCTATCCAGGTGCTGCTTGAGAACAAAGTAGTTCGATGGCTGAGGATTCATCTGCTGCAACTCGTCCAATAGCTTATTCGCGAAGCGGTAGTGCAACCTAGAATGATTGCTAATCGAAAGGGCTGCCTGAAAAGGAAGAAGTGCGATGAACTCCTCGACTGTCCGCCGCTCGTACTTGCCAGCCTTCGTGTCACCGAAAGAGGAGGCGGCATCACCCAGTGACTTACGCTTCCTGTTGGCACCTCCCACTGTGTTGGCCACGCTCGGCGCCCCGAGCTTCGGGGAGGAATCAGGTTTGCTCGGGCTTCCAACCGCAGACTTGGCACCCCTGGGACCTTTGGACGGCGTCACCTTTAACAGCTTCGCCTCTGGCTGATGGGCGCCGCCGCTGTCATTGCATCCGTCGTCCTCCTCGCCGTCCTCACTGCCCGATCCAGCCTCATCCTCCTCATCATCTTCATCATCTCCGACTCCGTCATCGGGGTCATCACGATCTCGCCGCGAGCCAGGGCCTCCACCTCCACCTCCACTACCTGCGGCAGCACTGCGCTGCTTGATGTCGGCTGTGCTCAGGCGGCAGTTCCGAAGCTTCTGAAACATCATCGCCTCCTGAGAACGCTTCGCGCTGGCACAATGCGTCAGGTTCTTAAACGTGTTGTTGCCCTGGCCTGCGAAGAGATGATTCTCGATGGGCATCTTGTAGTCTGACTTGCGCACTTCGTATGTGCGGTACATCTGGTATCGCGCCCCCTTCTTCTCTCCCTCGTCATCCTTGAGCACACCCTTGTACTGCGTCCCCTTCTCGCTGATAAGGTCCTGCAACTTGTATCCCAGCTCCGACGGTTCCTTGCCGAACTCCTCCTGGAACTCCCCTGGCGTGAAACCCCGCTTGTCCTTGAACACCGTGAAGCCAGTCGACGTGGCCTCCAAGACATCCGACGGCAGCATCCTCGTCTTGAGGCTGCTCTGGGCCTTCTTCCTGTCCTCGATCTCCTCGGAGGCCTTGTTGAAGGGCAACTGCAGCGCATAACTATCGTCAGCCATGTCCTGGCAGAACTGCTGGTAGGACACGTTCTCGCACAAGTAGAGTCCAGCCTTCAATGCTGTGAAGATCTCCTCGCAGTCGAGGCACCCTGAGTCGGTCTGCACCTTGGCGCCGAAGAAGCGGCAGCTGGTCGGCCAGCGGCAAGATTGATTTCGCTGGCTTGGTGCAGCAGGGGCAAGAGTCGACCTTCTTCTTAGCGTACTTCTGGGCCTTCACGGACTGCTTGTCAGCCACGGCCTGGGATGGCCCCGCAGGGGCCGCCCCGACGGGGGTGTCGCCAAGGATTTGGCCGTCCTCGTCTGGACCAACCAGTGCGGCAGCAATGCCCGAGAAGCCAGCGTCGCTGGCTGATGACCTCGTGACCTTCTGCTTCTTGCCTGGCATCGCGGGTCTGAGATCGGAAGGTGCCCGACGTGGCACCTGAGGCCCCGTGGCGAGGGCTCTTAGCCCGAAACCGTACAAAGCCAAAACGGCTGCGGTGGGAGGTGGAGGAGGAGGAGGAGGAGGAGGAGGAGACGTGGGCAAGACCAAATCTCTCCGGCACACACATAGCAATATTTCTCTGGCACGTAGCATAGCGTCTCGCCGTTCCTGGGGTTAAGATCGGGCAAATCGGGAACATAGGCTGACCGATAGCAGAGAACAGCACGTGCACGACCGCAAGTGCTCGAATACCGTGTGATTGTTTAGGTGTTGCATGTGTGCGCATACCGTTGATGACATGTATTTGCGTGCCCATGCATAGCCCCCTAGAGCGCCCTCCTCAAATCTACGATCGTCACGTGTTCCCATTCCGCTGAAGCCTGAGACGCGTCAGTTCGCACTCCGACGGAACCGATGGACAGAGGAGTGCAAGAGGAGCGGAGGAGTGGAGGAGCACATATACAAGGTGCTTGGGTGAGTGGAAAGGGGGGGCGAGAAGATGGTGTGGGAAGCAGGGTGGAATGGTAATGGTACCCACTCGCATGCCAGGGCCAGCATGAAAGGTCGAACGCGCATGCCCAGCCGACATGACAACTAACGGCACCGCCGAGAGAAGGTAAAGGCTGCCAGTGAACATATCTGGCGCAGAACACGCTCGAGAATATCATGGTCAACTTCTATTATGTGGTGTGGAATGTGTGCATTGGCATGTTATTTTGAGCGGGCGCGAGGTACCATGCATGCCCGAAGCGAAAGCACTAGGAGGCATGAAGCACACAGGAGCCCAATGCACCTAAGGCCCGAAGGCCCCCTGAGACGCCTAAGGCCCAAGAAACCCGATGACGCCTAAGCCCACAAGATGCCTTCATACGCCTAAGGCCCTCAGATGCCACCAGGTACCTAAAGCCTTACAGTGCCCCAATAGTTCCAAGGCCCCAGATACCCCAATACGCATACATTCCAGACCGTATATGCATATGGCACTTAATGCCCCCAGACGCCTGACGCCCCAAGAAACCATAAGACGCATAAGGCCCCAAGATGCCCTAAGACGCCAAAGGCCCAATGATGCCCCCAGCCACCGTAGTAGATCCCAAGATCCCTTAAGACGCCTGAGGCCCCAAGATGCCCCTGGCCGCTTACGGCCCCAAGATGCCCTGAGAAGCCCCCCAAGAGACCTTCAGGCGTTATAGGCCTTAGAGACACAAGCAGAGGACACTCAGACTCACTCAAACAAGAGGCATGGTGGCGCCATATGCCTTAGAGACACTCAGACTCACACGAAAGGAAGTCCAATGTTCGCACCAGCCGATGTGCGAAACAGAGTTGGCGTCACCGCGTTTGCGGTCTCGCCTGCGAAATATTGGCGCCTTTGCGCAAAATCGAAAGCATTAGTGCCAGCGCGATTGGTGCAGCCTTCTCCCCCCTCCCTCCAACCCCGTTGGTAAATTGAAGATGGCGCTCCCTCCTCCATCCTCTCTCCTCCCAGCTCCTCTCTCCTCCTCCTCCCCATCCTTCCTCCCCTCCTCCCTCATCTGCCATCTGCCAATGGAGGCGTGGCTCAATCATACTTCTGAGTGTCAACCTGCGTCTGCTGAGGCTCAGGCGCGACTGCAAACCGCTGCCGCGCCACTGCAGGCTGATGCTGCGCAACTGCCGACTGCTGATGCGCGACTGCCGACTGTTGTTGTTGCTGCAGACTCGCACCCTCATGAGCGACAACTCCTGGGCGAACCTTCTTTGTCGGAGACTCGGCCTGAGGCTCGACCTCGGCAGACCAGGCCTCGGAGGATCCGAGGCTCGAGTTAGGAAGAACAGGCACTGGAGGAGGAGGAACGCCCCCAGGAAAGGCGGCGTCTGGCGTCGTCGGCGACGGAACAGAATCAGCGGGAAGACTATCCTCTATCTGGATCGCCTCCGCAGCAAGCTCAGACTGGCGACTCTCTGCGCTCGCGCTCCTCAACTTCGGGAGCCAAGCAGTTGAAGGCAATTGTCCTGACGGCGCAGGAGCACACGCTGGCAGCATGGAACTGGCGGAGCCGCGGCCACAAAGAACCGCAGCAGCATCAACATCGGTAGGCCCCCTCTCGGCCTCAACTCGGCGGTCCATCTCACGTTGCTCATGCTTCCACTGGCTCTCGTCAGGGTGAACAGAAGAACCGGGCTCCTGCGAGGGCGCTGGCACGTCAGTCGGCGCACCAGTTGGACCATCAAGAACAGCAACAGGAACGGGAGCCTCAAGAACGGCTTCGCCGTCATTGGCAGCCACACTCGAACCAGGACGGGTGCCCACGACGTTAATGGACACTGGCAATTTCGCATGCACTGTGTAAAAGTAAGACTCTGGAAGCTCGGGCACTGCCAGGACCAACTCAATCTTCCCTGTGGCCAGAAGCGATGGTGGCATGACTACTTGCACTCGGCGCTCGCTGACAAAAAAGGCTGGGCGTGTGTCACACAAAAAAACCGTTTGCACTGGGAAGCGGCTGCCACATGTAAACAACGATCGGTGTGCGGGGTATTCATTCGAAGAACGGCACATCACCGATGACGCAATTTATTGTTCAAGCTCCAAGATGCCCACGGAAGCCTACTACCTCAAGGTTGGACGCCTGAGGCCCTACGAAATTGAATAAACCTAAAGCCCGAAGTGGCCCCAATTTGCCTAAGGCCCCTAGAAGCGAGAATATGGTGAAGACCCAAGAGCGCCCTTAGCTGCCTCTGGTCCCAAGATGCATAAGGCCGCGGGAAGCCCTCATACACAGGAGACCCAAAGCTATCCCAGACTGCCCAGGTCCCAAGATGCAACCAGATTCCTAAGGCCCTGGGGAGCCTAAAGGCCCCGAGTGCCTCACCACACGCACGTTGCTCTACCACATGCAACAGAAATCGTCCATCCCTGCAAAGGGAACCCTCGGCGAATTTGATTACCTGCCACCACGACGGTGCGAGGCCCAGGCCCTCATCGGAAGACGCTGCGCAACCAAACTGCATTGATGCAGTTCCATGGTCTCGGCGCTGGCCACTGCAAACCCAAGAAACGACACCCAGCAACGCACGCATATGCCAACCATGTGTAAGCATTCGCAACCACGCCCGTATTTCGTACCAGGCTACCCCTCCCCCAATAGCCCAAGACTCCACGACGGGCGATCAGCAAGTGGTCTTGCCTCAGGGCCGGATGCCTTGGGCTCAATGCCCAAAGCTCACTGTAACACACATCACCCCCCTCCCACACGAAGACGCCCTCCCATCACTACACGCACACGCACGCACGCCCCCCACCAAAAAAAAACACCACCACGAGCGCCAAACACATGTCACCCCGCGCACTCATCACAAACCCAGCACCACGCTGTAACACACGACTACCGCCCACCCCGACCCAACGCACAACCCACCTCGCTACCACGCCGCCACACAACCACGCGCCACACACGCACGCACACCACCCCGCCCACAGCCCACGCGCTGCCCCCTTCCCCCCCCTCCCCCCCATCCCATCCCACCCCGCCACCTGGCCACCCCCGCCCACGCATCCGCCGCACCACGCCGCGCCCCACGCGTCAGCCCACCCACCGACCATTAGCATGCATCGCCCGCGAGCAGCCCGCCCCACCCACCACCACCACGCGCGTGTCCCCAGCCACGCAGCCACCACTGCCCCCCCCCACCCCACCCCGCCCCACCCCACCGACCCCTAACCCCTCCCCGCACGACCCCGCCACCACCGCCAGCACCGCCGCGCGAACGCGCCCACGCCGCCGCCACCGCCAGAACCACCCAGCACCACCCTTGGCCCTTGGCAGTCATCCCCACCCAAAAAAAACACCACCACCGCCAGCGCCGCCGCCGCTAGCACCACCGCCACCACCACCACCGCCACCACCACCACCACCACACACACACACACGCACACGCGCACGCACACGCACGCCGCGCACGCACACGCACGCCACTAGGTGCCAGGGCTTGGCACCAGTGAAATCCTGGCGCAGGCGCTAGGGCGCCACGTGCAGGCGCAGGCCTGGTGGGGCAGCACAGCGTCGGGGCATGGGCAAGGGCGATGGCGCCTCGAGTTGTTGAGATGGGCGGGCGCGCGATGGCCCGATGCCACGACGGCGCTTCACCCGATGGCCCGATGGCGAGCGCCCGATGGCCCGATGGCCCGAGCGCCGATGAGGCTGTTACCCCACGGCCCGATGGCACGGCGTTGCGAACCAAGCCCCCCCACCCCATCCCACCACCACCACACGCACACACACACACACACACCCTCAAACCGCCCTACCACAGCGCGCCTCAGCATGCAAGCACGCACCCGATCGCCACCGCACCCGCCACCGCCAACGCCCCGCCCTTGACCACCGCCCGCGCAAGTGCCACGCGGCCAACTTCGCGCCTGCCCCTCCGCACCCCAGCCCCCGCGCCGCTGTGCCACCGCAGCCAACGCGCCCCCCCCCCGCCCCCCCGCCCCCCACCCGCCCATCGCCCCCCGCGCCACCCGCCCCCGCCCCCCGCGCACACACGCCTCGCCCATCCACCCCGCTCCCGCACGCCGCACAGCCGCCAGCCGCAGCCGCACCGCCGCCGCATGCGCCTCCCACTTCGCGCGAACTCCCCCCCCCCCCCCCCCCCCCCCCCCCCCCCTGGCAACAGCTCCCCGAGCACGCAGGCGCACGACCCCCCCCCTGCCGCCTTCCCCCCCACCCACCGACCACGCCTACGGACACGGGCCCACCATGCCAATCATACCGCCGCCGCCACCGCCGCCAGTACTCGCCTGCCCACCCACCCACCCCCCGCGCGCCCCATGGGCGGGTGGCCATGGCGCACCTGGCACCCTGGCCAGAGCGCCTAGATCAGTGAGTAGACAAGGGGTGGCACCTCGACCAGCGCGCAGGGGGGGTTGGGGGGTACTTTGCAAAACCTGGATCACGCCCCGAGGGCGCCTGGGTACG